TTTTTTATAAAGAGGACATGGCGGGGCGGTTGGCTCACGCCTGTAATCCTAGCAACTCTGGGAGGGCTGAGGCGGGCCTAGCACTCTGGGAGCCAAGGGCGGGCATGCTTGAGTTCAGGAGTTCAAAACCAGCCTGAGCAAGAGCGAGACCCCGTCTCTACTGATAATGGAAAGAACATTAATTGGCCAACTAAAAATATATAGAAAAAATAGCGGGCATGGGTGGCGGTGTGCCTGTAGCCCGCAGCTACCCGGGAGGCTGAGGCAGGAGGATCGCTTGAGCCCAGGAGTTTGAGGCGTTGCTGTGAGCTATGGCTGACGCCACGGCACTCACTCAGCCTGGGCAACAAAGCGAGAACTCTTCGTCAAAAAAAAAGAGAGACGTGGAAAATTATTTACATGATGAAAGATTTCAGAACTTCAGTGGAATGAGCTTCACGTCGAATGTCCATTTCAAAGTAGTTATTTATTTCAGTCCACATACTTTTCCCAAGATCGTCACCATTCTCTAAATAAGAAATAATCCTTGTCATCTAGAACTCCTTTGGTGACCTCCTATTCTGGGAGGAACTTTGTCTCCAACTTTCACGCTACTGGTTGAATCTCTCCACCCTTTCCTTTGGAGCCCGATCCAACAGCCACCGTATTGTGCTTGCGACACTTTTCCTTGAGATTTTTTCTGAAGGCAAATGCCTCCTTTGGTTTACAGTTTCGGCTGCACTCCTTTCAACGGGGGTAGCCCCGTGATAAAAAGGGAAAGAAATCCTCTGAAGCTACGTCGCTGCCATGTACTCGCCGCCGTCCCAGCTCCTTACTCTGCTCTCGTGCGCCGCTTGCAAGGAGACCCCACGCCGGTTGTTCCTGGCAAGGCCCAGGCTGCACCTCCCCGCGTGCCTGTCGCCTCGGGCCCCTGGCTGGCGAGGACAGCGCAAGTCCACTCCCGCGAGCGGCCCTGCTGCGGGGATCGCCGGACGGCAACAGCGGGCTATCCAGGATCTGCAGGTGGAGAGAAGTGTGTAGCGTGGGTGTGTCTGGAGGACCAAAAACCGTTCTGCAACCAGAAGGCCAAGGAGAGTTCAGAAGGACACGGCATCTTCCCAGCGCACGGGAACGCGAGAAGAGGGTGGACCGTCGGGTTTCCAAATGAACAACGGTGACGTGAGCGAGCTGCGGCTCACGCCCCTGCAGGACTGCATGCCTGGCCTGAGCGGGGCAAAGACACCATTAGTGATCAGGAGGCACAACGGGCAAGTGTTGGAAGCAAAGGACCCTCCAAAGACCCTCAACTGCCCCATGACCTCCAGTCTAGCACGGGCTTCACCCCTAGAAAATTCCAGCTATAGCCCGAGAAGAATGCCATCCACGACGTGCTGAACCATCCGGAAGTGCTCCAGTGTGTGCGCTAACGGCAATGTGTCTCCCCGACCAAGTCAGCACAGAAGGGGGTTTACTGAGGGTTTTTATAAAAGGGGACAGCCGACCCCCTCCCACCTGCCCTGTTCAGTTCTTTGTTTCTGGGCCAAACAGGCAGGTGAAGAATCGCTTCCTGCTACGTGCAGCACGGGACGGTGGGCAGAACGGCGGTTTGTAGTAAATTATTTTTCAAATGGCCAACTCCTACGGCCCCTTTGACCGAGTCACATCCATCCTTCTCGTGGTCCTTATCAGGAGAGCTGGGCAGGGATGGCCTTGGCCTCCATCAGGGAGGGAGGGGGAAGGAGTGCTGGCTGCAGCTTCTGTTAGATCTACAATGTTGGGGCTCCCCAGACTCCTGCAGCTGTTGTTTTAACAAAAGCCCAGGTTTTGCATTAACCACATACTTTTCAGGTTCCCACCAGGAATAAACCTAACACCCACCATTCCTCTAAGGAGTAGATAAGCATAGAGAGAAGGGGGTTGAAGGGACACCCCCTGGGGGCGTTAAAATGGCCTCAGAAATGCAGAAGCCACCCTCCTTTGTGGGGCCTGGTCTCCCCCTGGGAGGACTCTGATTCTTAGAGGTTGTGTTGGGTTTTGCAGTTCGGGCTGATCAGGAAGCAGACTCAGCCTGCGACTTGTCCAGGGTGGCCATCTGGTAGAGCCAGTGCCCCTGGACCCCACCAGGCTGTGGTGCCCTGGTGGCCCAGCACACCCTGCTGGCCCCGCCCCTGAGGTGGTGACTCCACTGGCCCTTCACAGACTGCCTGTGACTTGGGGCCAGGCTGCCAGGCCTCCTCCCCTGGACCTTGCAGTGCCCCTCAGGGCATACCCAGGAGGGGCCACTGGGCCTGGGGCTGGCTGTGCCTCTGGTCTGGAAGGGGGTCCTGGTCTTGGCCAGCACTCTGCCGGTGTCCCCCAGGCCTGGCAGGTGGCATGGGTGGCACAGGGCAGAGGCACCTTCTCCTTCCTCCTGACATTCCTGTAAGGGGTCCCGGCAGGCACTGCGTGCAGTCCAGGAGCCGTCTCCCCGGGTCCTGGCGACACCCTCTCCCACCAGGACCAGGAGTGCAGCCTGTGGCCGCCCTCTGTCAGCTGGGCTTTGTGACGGGGTCCAGCCGGTCCCGCCTGGCGCCCCCTTCTCTCATGAGAAGCTCTGTCTTGTGGGGCCCGGCTGCATCACCCCAGGGTAAGCCCCAGTGGGGGAAACCGTGGCCGTGGGGTGGCGTGGGGTGGCTGGTCGTGTTGGTCTTTGTGGGAAACACAAAATACTTGGGACCTGAGCCAAGTGCCCCAAGCACTGCCCGGAGCTCAGATGTCGGCCTGGAGACCAAGCGCCAGAGAAGCCCGCCCTACAAGGATGTGGGCGCTGCAGGAGGGGCACCCCAAGAGGGGCACCCCAAGAATGACAGAGCTGGGGGCGCCCGGCCCAGAAGGAAGGACAGTGCACATGGAGAGGGTGGGGAAGGCGAGGGTCAGAACACTGGGTGGCAAAGGGGTGGGGTCAGCTGGGACGGTCCGCACAGAGGCGTCTGCCATTCCCTTATTATTAACCCTCCAAGGGCTCTGGGAAGAGGCACTGTGAGCCTCACAGATGAGGAAACTGAGGCACAGAGGGGACGGGGTGCGGGTGCGGGTGGAGGTGGCCTCTCCAAGGCAGGTGTCTGAGCGCCCAGCGCGAAGTGTCCACCGCCCTCGGGTGCAGCAGCCACTTGGTCCGGTCCGCACAGTCCCGGGGCGATGGGCTGGTGACCTCCGCCGCGCTCCCAGTGGCCTCCAGCTGGGCCGAGTGACCCGCCTCGCGTGCGCGGCCCTGGACACCGTCCGAGGTGCTGGGCGCTCAGGAGATCCCGGAGAGCGACATGGCCGTACAGGCCGGGGTCAGGGGTGCGGGGACGGGTCCCGGCGGTGGGGACCGCAGGGTGCGGTCCGCTGTGTTCGCGATGCCTCATCCAGTGCGTGCACGGGGCCCGCGGGGCGGGGTGCGGGGCGCAGGGCGTGAGTCCCCAGGGCCGGGGCCCGGGCCGGGTGCGCGTGCCTGGTTCCCGCTGCCGGGTCCCGCAGGGCGGGGTGCAGGGTCCCGCGGGCCGGGTGCGCGGCGCCTGCGTCGGGATGCGCGAGTGTCCGGCCGCCGCCCTCCCGCCTCTTCCCGGCCGCTCCAAGTTTCGGTTTCCCCTCCGGGGCCGGTCAGGGCGCGAGGCACTCCCCGACGCCTGCGACAGCCCCGCAGGGCAGGGCGCGCCTGATCGGCCCCAGCGCGGGCGGAGGAGTGTGTGGGGGGGGTACCCGGGCTCAGACCTAGACCCAGACCTGGACAGGGACGGCCGCACCCCGCGCCCGCGGCTCCGCCCGGAACCTTCACTCCAGGGATTGCGGCGCCTGAAAAGCGCAGCTGCAAAAGACGGGTCTTTCCCCACGGTGAGTTCTCGGAGGAAGGCACCGCCCACCCGAGCGAGCGGCGAGCGGCACCCGCTGGAGGCGGCAGGGGGGAGCTCCAGGCCTGGCGGGGGAGGGGCAGGGAGCAAGTGCAAAGTGACCTCCCCGCCCCCGCTCTTCCATGGGGGTTGGGGGATGGGGTTTGAAGCAGTGCCCGGGGAAGAGAGCCGGAAGTGTCAGCCAGCTGGGGGAAGAGTTGGGAGCCTGGGGCACTCGCCTCTGTCTCTAGGCTCCTTGTGCAGGCTCCGAGCAACTAGATGCTTGGGGGGGGGGATTCCTGAGCCTGTTCTGAGTTTCCTTGTCTGCCGGGAAGTGCAGTATTGGAGAGGGAAACACTTTGGGTGGAAAGAAAGAGGCCCTGGGAATGGGGAGTCATGGAAGATGTTGGAGTGAGGGAGTGCCCAGGCAGCAGTGGTGGTGCTTCAGGGGATGTGTAGAGAGGGGGAGGGGCGGCATGGGGGCCGGGGCCTGGCTGGGGCAGGTGTAGGGAGTTTTAAGCTCTCCCTCTACTCTCTGAAGGAGAGAGAACTTGAGTCTCTGGAATAAAATGACAGTAGACAGATGTCAGGAGTAGAGGCCTCCAAATTTATTGTGTGCAAACGGGAGCCTGACGCAGGAAGGGCCTGGTGATGGCAGTTTTCACAGCCTCGGGCAGGGGCCTGGGGAGGGGGTGGCCTCTGGGTAGAAGGTGTCTTGTCACGCAGATGCAGTCTCAGGGGATCTCCTGCCCCTCTCCGCAGAACTGCTGGGGCCCCTGGCGTCTCTGGCCGGCCTCTCCTCTCTGCCTGCAGGACTGTCCTGCGGTCCCTCTCTGAGCAGGCGCAGAGCCTCTGCTGGAACACGGTCCACGAGTATCGAGTTCCTTTGTAGCCACAGAAGTGTTTCCAGGTGGCGTGGCTTAGTCTCCCGAGCCGGTGAGGCCAGGCAGCCGCACACACCTCGTCCCGTCCCGGATCTGCAGGCAGGAGCTCACAGTGTGCTGAGACCGCTGGCTCTGGCCACTGCTCCCGCAGTTGTGGGTCCCGGGCCAGCAGACAGGGTGGTGGGTGGGGCAGGGCCCTTGGGAGTCTTGCCGTGCAGAGAGGCGGTGGCCATGAGTTGTCTGCACCCTTGGCCTGCACACAGTAGGAGCCTTGGAGGCCGAGTGCCCAGCCCGAGTCCCAGCCTTGACCCGGCTTAGCTGAGCCCCCCGCCCTGGTTTGATGCCACCCCCACAGAGGCTGCTCTGAGGGCAGAGGGCAGCGCCAAGCATGGGGGCTTCACTGGTGGCCCCGTGAGCTGTGAGAGCTGTTCCCGTCTTGATCCTCACCTGTGGGGGGGGACAAGGAGGCCACCGCCTTGCTCTGGGCACGCCTCCAACGCCTTACCTGCCTCCAAGCCCCCTCCTCCCTTCAAGTTCTCGGAGGCTGTTTCGGGGAAGTGACAGGGAGGGGTCTCAGACTTGCTGAGCTGGGGAGGCTCAGAGCTCGGGGACTGGGGGCTGGGTGTGGGCTGCAGGGGGTGGGCGGGCAGGTGAGAGAGGAGCTTGGGATGGAGAAGTGACAGGGCTACTGGCTATAGGGGATGTGCTGGGTTTCCATTGACCAGGGGACCTCTGGGCCACTGCAATTTCACTTTCCCAGAAAATGAAACCGAAGCCGGTCCTGGTCACATGACAGCAGGCGAGATATATAAGGGGCCGCCTCAGACTCCTGCTCTTGCTTCCAGACCTGCAGCTGGGCAGACGCGGCCTCCAGCAGCCCCCGCCGGAGGCATGGAGTGTCCTTCGTGCCAGCATGTCTGCAAAGAGGAAGCCCCCAAGTTCTGCAGCCAGTGCGGACACAGACTGCCTCCTCCTGTGGCCCCCGTGGCAGGTGAGGCCCCGGGGAAGATGGGGACCCAGTGGGCAACCAGAGCTTAAAAACAAAGAATTCTCAACAGAGCTATATCAAAAGAAGGAAACGCCATCATAAAACAAAATGTAAAAACACCACTGATACGACACTACACAAAATACAAAACTAAACTACCACACAAAACACACAAATAAATAAAGAGCAAGACACATACAATAACAGAAAACAACAATAACATGGCATCTCACTATCAGCAATAACCTCAGAAACAGAAACTCCCATTTAAAAGAACATAACTGCTGAATAATAAAATAAGACAAAATACATGCCGCGGGGAGCGAAGAAACTCACCCACCTGTAAAGACACACACAGACTGAAAAGAATGGAAAAAGAATTCAATCAAATCAACAGTAGATAGAGTACTATAAACATATACAAAAGAACTTCAAAAACTAAAAAGAGACAAACATACTAATAAAAAGACCAATTCACGGCAAATGACAATTGCAAATATATACACACACAGAGCATCCAAATAACAGCAAATAAAGATCAAAGAACTTACCCAGTATAAATAGTCGGGGATCACACTATCTCAACATTGTAGATCATCTAGACAGAAAAATCAACAGAGAAATACCAAATGAAACTGACCATAACAAATGACCTACTAACACAACATACCAACACCAGAAACACTTCTTTTTTAATCACACATGAAACATTCACACAGATTGCATATGGAGCACACAAAACGAAGTCCAAAAAATTTAATTAATCATATCAAGCATCTATCAACCACAAGAAACAAACAGACATCAATACAATAGAACATGGTGAAAAACAAAAATGAAACAACCACACTCAACCATGCTGACGAAGAATACACAAATTACTCAAAATAAAATAAAATACAACCCAACCTACCCAAAACCTACTGAATACACAAAACATAGACAGCATTTAGCAATGCACACCATCCAAAAAACTAATAACAAACAACTATAAGCACATTAAGGAACAAATGCAAGAAGAAACCAAACAAATAGTAGGAAAATCACAGCCACAAAAAAAACAATCCAAAAATAACAACTCAACAAAAACAATACATTAGTTTTGTCAACATATAAAAAAATCATCACTAGACTCAAGACAAGAGACCAAATAAACAAACATAACGGATACACAGAAACAAAGGACACAGACTACTACAAACATGTAATAGCAATCATTAAACATCCAAGGAAGAGAATTTTGACACATACAACTACCAAGATGAACCAAGAAAATACCCAACACCATAACAAGTATGAGATTTAGCCATATAAACTCTTCCAACAAAGAAATCCAGACGATGGTTTCCATTTGACCAAACTTTAAAGAAGAATTAATAAATTTTCCAACATTCAAAAAATGAAGGATGCAAAAAAAAAAATAATTTAAAAACAAAGAAGTTACTAAAGCATTTATTGAACTAAAATCTACCCATTAATAATGCCAAAATAAAAATAATAAAAAAAAAAATGAATGAAGGAATCTTCTCACTTATTACAGCCCATAACCTATAAAACTAGCAAGGACAAACAAAAGAAAACAATGTAGTATCATGACACAATGCAGAAATCCCAAACAAAGACAACAAACCAATCCAGCAGCACAGAAAAGATAAACACACAATCCCAGTTGTCATCCCAGGAATCAAGAGTCACAATGGAAATAGTAACGTCAACATCACACAGTCACTGAAGGACAAGAACAATGAAGCATCTCAAAACAAAACCTTATAAAGATTAACATTGCTGTTCATGAAAAGAACTCTTTTTGTGGTGTTTTGAGACAGGATCCTCACTCTGTTTCTCAGGCCCAATTTGCATCAGCACTCACAGCAACGTCAAGACTACTGCCAGAATCCTTCTGCTTAGCCACGAAATACTACAGCATGCCACCCATGCGCGAGCTATTTTCTAATATACTCATCGTAGTTTGTCCGCAATTTATTCTATTTTATAGGGACGGGATCTCACTCTTGCTCAGCGATTTTCGAACCTACCTTGAGCAATCTGCTGCACACTCCAGAGTGCTAAGATTACAGATGAACCACACCCCCACTACATCATATAAAACCTTAAAATATATAGACAAGGAAATCATCAATGTATTAACTCTATAATAACCCACAACTACATCTTACCCGAAATGAAAATGAAAGTTCCACAAAAAATGAACAAGACATAGGAAGTCCTCTTCGCCCTTTAATCCACATACGTCAACGGACGTCCTAAGCCAGAGAATTAGGCAAGAGAAAAATAGAAGCATCCAAATGGAAGGAGGAACATGTCCCTGTTTTAAAAAAAAAACCTAATATCGAAAAATAAAAGACTCACCAAAAACTCAGAACGATAAATTCATATAAGTTCAGGATAAAAATCAACACACAAAAACGGCATGGCTGCTCACAACCTAAACCTAGCACCCGGAACAAGCAAAGATCACGAGTCAAGGGAGTTGAACAACCTGACACCGAGTGAGACCCCCCCAACCTACAAAAGAAATACAGCGGGTGGCATGTCTATCCAGCTACATTGGGAGCCGAGGCAGGAGATCATTACCAGATTTGAACCAGCCGGACAAGACGAAGCCCGTCCTACCAAAATTAGCAACAGTGACGCGGATGGTTCTGCCCACTTGAGGGCAATCTTCCCACCTAGTCCTAGACCACGCGATAATCTCTGAAACACGCTCACGTGACACATCCTAAAATATCGGTTACCATTCTCTAGGAACCAACCTTAACCAGTCACACTGACACATAAGCACCCAGTACCAGCAGCCAGGCGCCTCCGAAAGACGCACAGTGCTCCCACTGCCCACAGACCCCGCCTGCCGCCCAGGCGCTGCTGCGCCCCTCCGCTGCCTCGAGCCCGAGTCTGGAATCGGAGCCAGGCCACCTGTAACCTGCAAGAAGTGGCTAGCAGAGCGCTGCCTCCCACGCCCCACCAGATCCGAACTTTGGCTACAATTTCTTCCTTCAATAGAATCAGCTGTGTAGAGACCAGCACCCTGAATGCAGAGGCACGCTTCCCGCTGCTGATCCCCCGCCCGGAGGCGCCCAGAAGCTGCGCTGGTCTGGCTCAAGCATAAAGACATGCATTCGTAAAACGCACAACACCCGTTCTCACACGAGCTTCCCTTCGTCCCGCACGCCACACGCAGGCCTGTCAACCCTCAGCGGCCTCAACCCTCGCATAAGATCGCAGGCGGAGAAGAGGACCGTCCAACATGCACGAGCTGCCGGTCCCAACGGCAGTAGGCAACCAAGCCCCAGGGCTCTGCTCTCCGGCACAGCCAGTTCTTGGCACACAGCGGGTCCACCGCTCCCCCTGACAGCGCTAACATCTGCTCCGAGCCGGCCCGTATCCAACACTCCCCGCGTGACTCGCGAGGAGGCAGCCTCGACTAACCAGCGCACAGCACCCCACGTCACCTCCACACACAGGGCAGCAATCCTCACGCGCTCCACCAGGCACTGGGCTCTGCGGGTTTAGCCTGTCCTGCAGCCTGCTGGGTGACCGGAAAGTACAGAACTCTCTGCCCCCACACTCATCCATCTGTGAAGGGAAGCTACGACACCCTCCCTCGATACTTAGCGCAGTGCTGGGACATCCAGGTTACATACTGGTTTGATGGTTTGTGTATTGCACAGTTGCTGTATCTATTGGACATATGTATGTGTGTGGTGTACACATATTATTTGAATTTGAAACGTCTGCCTCTGCCAGGCTAGAGTTCATGCCCAATCATAGCTCACTGCCAGCTCCAACTCCTAGCCCAGTGACCTCCTATCGCCTCCTCAGTACCTGGACATCCACCACACTGCTAAACAGACTCCTTTTGTTACTTTCTGTAATTCTGGACTCAAGAACCTCTTCAAGCCCACCCAGGCAGCGTTCGGTGACCCAAAGCTCGCATCCCATGATGGTAACTTCCAGCAAAAAGTGACACGAACCCTGGACTACAGGTGATGCTCAGCTCCGCACCACCAAGTCCGAGTATCGAAAAGAAAAGAGAAACTCTTAAATCGAGTTTCAGCCAGTCCCCAAAGAGTCAGCAGCAAAAGAAAATCAAGAGACAGACGCGGTGGCCCTCACATCCAGGCCTGAAGCGACTCATCGCGCAACTTGTGCAGACGCGCAGAGCCGCGCTCATACCAGCCCCGCACACACGCGCAGCGCCGGGGAGTCCCCAGCGGCAGCAGCTCTGCGCAGACACGCGGCACCCACACGCCCGGGTGCCCCGCAGCACTTTTACAAAACTACACGGTCCCGTGAACCTGTTTGTGCACGCAGCAAGTAAACGCCGCACCTGCTGTGCGCCAGGCAGGCCAGAGCGCAAGGGACCCTGGGAAGCAAGCGGTGCACGAGAACCAGAATCCTAGAAGCCACGCTGGTTGCCGAGGCTCTGAGCAGAGAAGAGCCGGGGGTGCACCTGTCGAAAGGGGCGCGAACTTCCGATGGGGGTCAGACTGCTCCCCAGAGGGCCAGCTGGGCAGAGCGGGAGGAACGCCGCGTCGGCGCAGCCACACGGTCAGAAAGCAGACCGCGCTCTGGGCGCGGACAGGCAGAGACGTGGCAGCGTCTAGGAGGCCTGTGCCCCTTACGGACTCCAGCCTAGCGCTCCAGTTGAACTGTAAGCCGAGAGGTCGGAGGGTTCGTGTTACTCTCTGTGCAGGTCAGAGCAGGCAGGAAGAAATCGGGCCACAGGAGCCACCGCACCCCGAGGACGGGCAGAGTGGCTATAAGAAGGAGAGGCGGGACAGTCTGGCGCGGGGCAGCGGGAAGGACAGCCGGCCAGAGGAGGCGGGCTCTGCACTGGAAGGCTGAAGTCACCCAGACGCCCAGGCCACGGGCGCCAGGTTCCAGCCCAGGTCAGGTTGGAAGGAGAACGGGCTGCCAGTCGTGGTCAGTTAAAAACCACAGAAGTGATCAGCCACTAAGCACGGGAACACCCAGAGAGGAAC